TTTGTCTTTTTTGTTCGTTTTTTTTTTTTTTTTTTTTTTTTTTTTTTTTTTTTTTTCATACCCTGTTTATTTTTTAAAAATATAGTTTTTCCCCCCCCCCCCCCCAAAAAAAAAAAAATTAATGTTATCAATACAGCATATAAGTAACTACATCGGAAAAATCATCCAGACACGACGAGGTCAGTGCACATGAAGTAAGTATTCCCTGTCTAAGGACACAATGAGGTCTAAAAATGTACCAGATTGCATCTCAGCGTATATTCATTTCACGAAATTTCCGGGGGGGCATACCCCCGGATCCCCCTTGGAAGCTCGTGGCCTTTGGTCACTGGGGACTTCTCCCCCGAATAATAAATCCTAGATTGAACCCTGACTTCAAAATCAGTCACGACGTTACGAAACTAAACACTGTTAATAATTAAAAACATTATTAAAATCAGCGCAAGGTAATTTGACTAGGGCAAAAAAAAAGGGAGGCTCGCGTGACTTTCCAACAATGGCTTTGTGGGTCATTAACTTAAGGTAGTAAGCGGAATAAAACAGCAGCTGTGGTAGCCACGTGGGAGTGACCTAGGAAGAATAAAAAGGTCAACGTGGCGTTGAAAAAAAGGAAGCTAGATTTGAAAGTGAAAACACTGAACCACTTGAAATAAAACGGAGAAAGTTTTGAAACTCCCAGATGTCATAACTCCAGAAGGGAGTCTTATGCTATGTGGCTAAACTTGTCACATGACAAGGCGTTCGTAGAGAATAATGCCACAGAAAATGTACTAGTTGCCTGACAAACGGATACAAACAGAAATCATAAGCGAATAAAGTTAAAGACTGACTTACCAACCCTCACTTTTTGCTAAATAACCTTGAAACCTTTCAGCTCAACTATTGCACTTCTAGACTTTGATATGGATAATAAATATTAGAAAAAATTGAACAGTGATTCACTCAGAATGTCTCTAAGCTCCATATTTCAATATCGAGGTATTTCATTTAGTTATAATTCTTCCAGCCACAATTGTTTCTACATGTTACACTTGCTCAAAAAAACTAATAACCTGGTCTTAAGGAAATGCGCATTCGAAAGCAAAATGTTTTCAAACTGAACACAAAATTAAAGGGCAACGTTGTAACACGTCGACTATCATTTGAAATATCCCCTAAGTGAGCTTTACACGCATAATAGGGACTTTAATATTCAACGGCGCGACGGCGACAAGAACGTCGCTTAAAAAGTGAATTTGCGTTCTTTTCCATATTTCAATATCGAGGTATTTCATTTAGTTATAATTCTTCCAGCCACAATTGTTTCTACATGTTACACTTGCTCAAAAAAACTAATAACCTGGCCTTAAGGAAATGCGCATTCGAAAGCAAAATGTTTTCAAACTGAACACAAAATTAAAGGGCAACGTTGTAACACGTCGACTATCATTTGAAATATCCCCTATGTGAGCTTTACACGCATAATAGGGACTTTAATATTCAACGACGCGACGGCGACAAGAACGTCGCTTAAAAAGTGAATTTGCGTTCTTTCAGTCTTTATAGCGATTATTCCTACCCACTTACGTTCTCAAATGTAGGCGAACCCTCCTGAAGCTGAATTTCAAGGGACCAAATTCAAGCTCAGAAAGCGAAATAAAATTTCGTCGTTGCTTGTTTACGTCCTCAATAAAACGCGAAATTAGGCATTTTCACGTCGTAACCGTGCAAAAACGAGAAAGAAATGTACAAAAAAGTGTGATGCACGTGCGTAGTTGTTGTTTTGCTAATTGAACCAATTGTTTTTTTGACGTTCTCGTTGTCGTCCCCATCGTTGGATCTTGAAGTCCCTATTATCTCGTACTCAGATCTTTGTAATCTCCAAAATGTTTTACTCTTATTGCGATCGAATCGTTCAAACAAGAGGCAGTCACATGGCATCCAACTGACATAAGAACTAAGTACTTAAAATTAACTTTTTAAACTAAAACCAAAAATAGAACTAAACCAACAAAACATTCAGTTAAACCTGTGCAATTTTGAAGTCCCTTTCATCGTCTCGCTTGCCCAAGTGAAAACAGCATTTAAACGTACACTTCTCAGCAAAGGTACGGACACCCTATCGTCCGAAGTCAAACTTCACTGTATGGACCAACTACTGGTCGATAAAAGGTGACAAAAGCCCCGTCATGTGGTGTTCGCTTATTACAAGATGCGTGCGCATATCTTAAAGTTCAATACAAGATATTAAACAATCTCGTACCCAGGTTCTGCGGTTATCGGGAGCGGGACGCCAGGACATATCTCGGGGATATAACATTTTACGAGTCTTGATACATTTCTGGTAAACTAAGTGTTAAGAAAGGCTTAAGCACGAACGAAAAGCCAAGCAACCAGCCCAATTCACAACGGCTGCTGTAGTCTGTAAGGCTTTTAGTTTTGGCCCGAGAGTTAAACGTTTACTGAACTTATTAATCATTAAAAGTTTTGCTATTAAAAAGAAAGAAAATCGCAACCCAAGGTCGAACCTGGAGCTTTTGTATCCTAACCTCTCTCCCTTACCACTACACTACCACACCGACCAAACAAAATGCCGAAAAAATTAAGTACATACACTAGCAAACTGTCTTTCTTAACTGTTACATCAATAACAGGTAACCCTAGCCCTTTCCATAATTTTCCACGTAAATTCAACTTGGGCTTTAACTTCGTTCTTTCTAAGACTATTCAGAAACGTATTATTTGCCTTATTGTAACTTAGTCCATGGAATATATTACATCCATCATGACTAAAGGCTTGGTTACCAATGGTGGCATCGACGGTAAAAATGGCAACGACCGTTTACCGAAGGAAAATAGGCGACGCCGATCAAGGTTCGGATGGACGCTCGTTTTCAATAGAACATTTATACTAGTAGTAATCATAGATTAATGTGAGTGCGTTCGAGTTTTCTTAGCTCCAGATTAGCTTTTGTGTCGTCAAACATTATTTCAAAATCATGGAAGAGATCATGAATTAAAAGGTAAACATTCTTTTCTTCAAAAATGCTCTTCGCGTATACGGCTTGAAAATATCTCACTCATTAACTCTTTCCTAACATGTCTTAGTCTCCCTCAAGCATGGTCGATAAAAATGTAAAGTAGATCGTAAAAAGTTCTATATTGTTAAAAAGATAAACATGTCACTACAAACGTCGAAAAAATGGTAGTCTTGAGGTTAAAAAGTCCTGGCTTCTTGCGTGACACAATGACTTGAAGTGAAAACAATGATCATACGAGCGACCAAAACATATCAGGTGTTTGCTAGATTACTGATGTCAGAGAACAGGGCAGAATCTTTTACCATTGTGCAAACTTTTCATCTCGTGATTATTTTAAGTTCATGTAGCTCAGTTCAACATGTTTGAAACTTAGCTTGCTTCAGCGAGCGAGATACTTATCATGCAAGATGGCCCGCTTAGATATATCAGACGTCAATAAAGCATTACAGTTGTAACAACCTGCACTGATACGCTCAAGCTTACTTATCCTAGAACATTTTTCGTGCATGTAACAGGTTAAACTACAAATATGTAAATAGACTCAAACGCACGGGTAAACTTCTCACGGCAAAAATGTTACCTGGTCTTTATTTGTGTGTTTCTATGAAGTTCCAGCTCGATTTGAACGGCATTTACCGAAAACGGTGTAGCAGAATCATCAGCTCAGTGATAAAACCCGCTTAGAAAACAACTCCAAAGTTCATTCTTTATCCGAACTCAAATACGGTATTCCCGTGTAGTCATCTTGCTTGTTGACCTTGATGGAACCAGTGATGCACGTGATTGCCATATGACAATTGCTTATGACGTAAATAACCCGAACTAAATTATTCAAGATGGCGCAAGAAAATGCAGACGTACGACGAAACACGCTTGCTGAAAAGGTCACTCTTGAGTAACACAGGAATCCCACCTGAGTACCACAGGAATCCCAAGATTATGTGTTGCGTTCTCATAACGTCGAACGCAACAATGAAGAGTCAATAGATGATGATCAATGGTTCGACTGCCACATTTTGGAAAGTGTTGACCATCCGCAGGAGCATCCAACTGGAACACAGGAGCCTACCACCTCCTCATCCGACTGGAACAGCGGCGATCGAAATGCACCAATCACAGCTGTTAAAAAGTGACCAATCACGGCGGAGCATCTGCTTCCCAAGGTTACACGTAACCATTCGACCTCGTGATTCTCATAACAAGTGACTACATTGTGAGACAAGACTCGTTAAATGGTATAGGTAACCTAAATTCCCACACTTGTTTTGTCACTAAATTTATTTGAGAAAGACCACACGGTCCAAGCGAGCCACCCAACCCTTCAAAGTTGTATGTTATGCTTCGTTATAAACGACGTCCATGCTTATTAGACGTCCAAACGTTTTGTTCACATGTTATTGAAAGGGATTAAATTAGAAACAAAATGTTGTGTTCTCAGTAAGATCTTGTGATCTGTGAGGGAAGAAACACGATTGTTGTGTTTACATATACAGCAAGGAATGTGAGAATTATTGTTAAAAGATCGGTGATTGTGATATTCGTACTGCCATAAAGGCGATTTCAATCTGATCTTTAGGAGAAAACGAAAACAGTTTGCGGTCTGGAAAGAACAGAATAAGGCGGTTTGCGGAATTGTCGACTCCCTATAATAGATCCTCCTTACTGGCTTTGGTTGACTTTTCACGAGTTAATCATGAAGACGTTAACACGGTGGCTTTTTCTTAAAGCCCAGTCAGAAAATGAATTACCACCCATCTTTTTTACGTTTATCTAATAGTGACGTCACCCGATATAGCTTTTCTGACACTATCTCAACGGAAAAGGGGTCAATTCCAGTTGTCGCACAAAACAACAATCAATCAATATTATTAATGCAAATTGCATGAAACGAGTCATTAATACCTTTTATACCTTCAGAGAAACATTGTTAGTCGGTCGGTTTATAATTCCAACACAAGAACAAAAGCAAACGTTTACCGCGGTGTTTATATTTAGTTCTTTTCCACTATTTACTACCGAGTTTGACGTTAGGCAGACAAATGCTGCTCAAGAAAAAAAGCACACAACGGCACGGATCAGTAGTTTTGAATTGTAATTAAAATCATTCAAAGGAGCTCATGCAAAATTCAAAGTTTTTGTGTTCAGAGGTACTCGAAAGTGGGAAGCTAGTGCTGATAGACGATTAGAGAAGGATGGTGAAATAATATTCGGGGTCAAATCTGTTAAAACTTGTGCTAAAAACTGCCCAGTATCACGTGATACCATGATTCTGAAGGAACTGGGTATCAAGTGACGTGTCCTGTATGTCTGGGTGATTCTGAAATAGGCCACAACGAGAGAAATGGACCATTATCATTGATCACGCGATTTTTAACAAAGCAACTAGAGGCAACGCAGTTACTTAAAAATATTTTTTGCCACAAATATTCGTTTGACAAGTACCGCTAAAAGAAAACTGGAAACGTTTCAGTGTAGTGAGAACATCGGCTCGCTTCTTAAATCTGCGCAAACACGAGGGTTCCAGAACAGCTTTTGGATCATTAATAACCAAAACTTGGAAACCGTGTGGACATGGCGGTTATCAACAGAATACCTTGGAATCCTACCAGGAGAAAGCGACTACTACAGACCGGACGACAGGATTTCTTCAACATATTCGGCTTCTTTAACACGTGGGGAAGAAATGAACGTTCTGATTTATGGTTTTGCCGTCAAGTGATAACACCTTAAAATTGAAAGAGAAATTTTATGACCGACAAGGCCAAGAATTTCCTTTTGCATTTATTTCAAACCTGCATAAGAAACAGACTTTACAGAGAGATACAAGGAAAGGAATGTTCCGTTTACGACACTTATAACAAGAAGAACGACAGAAGCTATTAGCTGCTGTCTTAAAAGAGTGATCAAAAGAATGAACGAACGTTGTCGACAAAAGATGATTTGCAACTTTTTCGACAAAATAATAAACTGGTTCAGGATTTTGACAGAGATTCGCTCCTGTAAAATAATGATTTTGAAATACATTTGTTAGATCGTTGCTAGTCCTTTCGGAAAGTGAAGATAGACAAAGACTGGAACCTAATTTGTGTGCAGTGTTATGATCACATGACAGGATAACAAGCGGTGCGTAAATTGGTGCAAAAAGGTTGCAACATGTGCCATCTTTGAGGAGATCTTGGATACAAGACAGCTCAAAGAAATACATCCTCAAAAAGAGAAAAACCAAGACGTTACTTGAAAACAAAAACCTTCTAGCCTTCAGGTAAGAGCTGGCCCATTACACAACACATATAACGTCTGCAACGACGCGAACGACGCGAACGACCGAATGTAAAATTTACAGTTGAAAATAGACCTTAATTTCAATTCTTTCGACGTCAAAAATATTCTTTTTGTTGATCACAGGTATTCCAAACGGCAGAGATGAACTCAGCACAGCTTCCAGTAAATTTACTAGGGGATTTTCAGGTGAGGAATAAAAGAATGTGTACCTGTGGGTGCTATCGTAATTTCGGGTTGCACGTCTTGGGCGAAACATGTATGTCACGGGAAACAAAGCAGAAGTTTTCGGCTTCAGGGGAAAAATAGGACTTGGGCTTTACGCTTATAACAGTTAAACGTTTTTAATGATGTACTAACTACAATGTAGTTTAAGCATTGATCCAGCTGAGCTATATGAAATCCCCCAGGGACAGAAAGATACTTAGAGTTGCAGCTCTTATCAAATCCATAACCATAATCGAGGCATAAGATGTTCTCTTTGGATTCTAAATTTTTTACATTTTTTCTTTCAGCACATCCACCTGCAAAACAGTCTGTATAACCTTCAGCTTTCACTGACAGAGTACTTCTGTGCAGTTTTACCCATTTATTTCCATGGACTTAAGTCGTCCTTACAGGATCCAAGGTGATTATCAGGTTCTTTTACTTTTACCACCTGAGTTTTCATTATAAAGAAATCGTTAAGGTTAAAAGGCATTTTAAATCTTTCAGCTGTTGTTAATAGGTTTTTGTGCCCTTACTGCAATATTGTGACACTAGTAAAACCCTTACACCTTAACGTCAGAAAACATGATATTCTCTATACTGTTGTACCTACTTTTCCTGATGTATCACTAAGGAGAATTTACCTAGCAATCAAAACCTTTTTGCTGTCATTGATCACTTACCTTTTACTCATAAGCGTTATGTTCGATTGAGTTGTGTAATGTAAAAGCTAGTTCCTACTATACTGGTAGTAAAACGATTAAGATGGTGGATGATGGCTTAGATTTCATCACATATTACTGACATAATATCTTACTGTCTTTTTCACAAAGCTTTATACAGATTGAAAGACTGCGGAGTTTGGACTGGGTGAGCACTTTTTAATAATTTAATTGGTTGTACAAAGTATTTTCTTACGCTGTACGTTATGTGCATTTGACAGACGATATTTTTAAATGCATAGACATAATTGGGTAGAACACGCGTAGCATATTCTCGGTTTTGATCAAACAGAGGCAATACACATTTAAAGAACACTCTATTTGTCTGTATGATCAATTTGCAGGAAAGCCCAGGAGATTCAGGACTCCAAAGTACTAGTTTTATTTTGAAGAAAATGGAAGAGGCAATGGTGGTATGTATTATCCAAAGAAAATGACTTCTTAATATTAGACAAGTTCATCAAAGGTACTATGCTTTTTTCTTATTTATTACAGAATGACTTAACTCTCCATGGCAGGGAGACTGCCCCAAATAGAGAACTACTGGACGTTTTTAAATGCCTTTGGACTTACTTTCGGTTAGGTGCACAAAGAGATCCAGCCATAACTTCATTTGCTACAATTTACCAGCCAAGCAGGTAATTCAGATAGTTAACAGAACTTCGAAACTTTTACCAAGAATCTCATTTAAATTATTACATCATCATTTTTTACTACCTAAGAATTGCTGTAAATGAAAATTTGTAATTTGTTTCTACAACTTTAAAATATTCACACTTCAGGGTAACATGCTACCAAACAGGATAAATAGCTTGAAATTATGCAATTGTGCTCCATTAGTGGGCCTGGCATGGTACTTTAACTACCTCATCTACTCGAACCAAGGATATAGCAAAACCTGTTAATTTAAAGCTATATCTTACAATTTCATCATGTGCAAATATGTACCTTTTCATTACACAGCCGTTATCATGATCAAGAGTGGGGAGAATTTGAAGTGGTAAGTTATACAAATGATAACCATTCTGTGGAATCTGAAAAACAGGAAAGAATAAAGAGGCAGTATCATCCACGGGAAATTGGATAGCAGAGTAAGAAAACTGGGCACAAAGGCTTCTGGTCACTTTTGCGTGAAAAGGGGAAATGCGAAATGTGGATCGTATTTTTCCACTAAGAATTGTACTATTTAGTTTTGGGTTATTTTCATTTTTTTAATAATCCCACCAATAATATTTTAAACCCCATCTGGCCATATCACTGAGTACAATCATCTTGAGACTTGGTGACAACCTTGGTATCTACCAATGGGCGAGACAGTTAAATGCGCACTTAAAACCGGTTCCCATAGCTCCTTTTTTAAAATTAATTGCAGTACAACAGAGGTTTAAAAGAAGACTGTGAAGTTGTCACTCAGATTCTTCAACATCAAACAAGATTGCTGAAAACCAACGGAGTGAGTACTTTTTAAGCCTAATTGTTACTTTTTCTAGTTAGGAATTAGAACTTAAACTGAAGCTCAGCTATGTCATTAAACCTAATGACTTAATAACTTAAATGGGCGAATCAAGAAAGTGACGTTACACAAGTGGTTAATTGAGTTGTTTCCATATTTTGCTGACTAATACTCAAGAACAACGACGACAACAACAACAAAAAAACATGAACACTAAAAGAAAACACACAAGAAAAAAAACAAAAAAAAAAAGGTCAATTATAAAATATATACAAAAACAATAACAACAAAAAAAAGTAACGGAATGCAAAATCTTTCCAACCCTAGACACAACCTTAAGAATTTTGGGAACAAAAACATTCACAGTGGTCTAGATTATGGTAGAACAAGTATACTCATCAAGGAACTTGACAAAACAGCATAAGGACCCTATCACTTTGATTCCTTAAAAAGGCTGTCGTACTAACTGGCACGACCAGTCAGCAAATTTGGTCTGTTTTTTTTTATTGTTAGGAAAGGCTTCAATGAAGAGTTATTTTAAAGTCATTTTTTTTTATTGTTGATTAACAGCAAACTGAGACCTTAGAAGGGTTTAACCCATCGCTAAGAAGAATACTTATCTATCTGAGGCACAAGACAATTAGGCCACATCCTTCATGCCCGACCAGGTAACTCAGATATATTAAGTATTCCAAATGGAAGAAACATTTAATACCGAGCAAAAACAACAAATCTTAACTGAAACTTATGGATACTCAAAGCATTGTAGTGAACTAAAATCAAGTGTTAACTTTCGTTCCAGCTTAAAAATTGAACACAAGAAAATTGCTGCTAGTCTTAAAATTGAGGTGACTGTTCGGGCCCTGTATGTTTTGGAGAGTACTTGTGAGATTTTCATTGAGATTTGCCACTATATACATGCATTTACCAAAAAAAGGACTTAAAAAAAAGACGCAATTTACCCTTCTCTCACCTTTCTTTTCAACAAAACAGCAAACAAAATTGTCATTAACGAATTCCTCAGATACTGCCTATAAACTACCTTCTACCATGTGCAAATGAGTTTTTTCTACGTTTATCATTTGCTAAATCATGACTAACCTAAGTTTCCTTTATATTTCAATACAGTTATGAAGCAGACAAAGTCTTAGAAGATTTAGACTGGGTAAGTAAACTTAATGAAAGAAAATGTAACAGTTGGAAGTAAAACTAGAAGTAAATAATTTATCTCTTTGTAAGCTAGATAATCTCTTACCCATCATTCTGCAAAGCAGCCTCCAAATGTAGTCATAAATTCCATACATCAAGGGTCGTTATAACTATACGATAGAGAAATGGTAAATGTAAAGTAAACAAAACAAAGATGTAGCTTTTTGAACTGTGCAGAGATTTTTCTTTCAATTAATTATAATTAAAATAACTTATTGTACATAAAGATACATAATAATCATATTTTATATTATACATACATAATTAAGATATTACTATGATATTAATATTTTACATTGTGGTGCAATAATGAATGCTAGTGTTATTGATTGATACCAAACTAACAGGGATCGTCTAACGTTTATGTTAAAAATTGCAACCCAACAGTTGATAAACAATTCCAAAGTAATCTAACTTTAAAAAAATAAATTAAATAAGATTGAACCCTTCCTAGGGTAATAAACTATGGTCAAGAAAATATATGGAAACGGCATACAATAGAAGCTTTTATCATGGTTCGAAAAAAATTTTGCTATGGTAAAAGAAACTTCAAAGGATTGATTTTTAACTTGAAAACAAATAATGTATTTATATAACCATCTCCTAGGCAAACAAATAAATAGTACGAACCCAGTAGTGAATCTGAAGTAGTAGGGAAGTGTACTCACACTAGAACGACCACAGCACGATGAAAAATATACCACGAATTTTTCGTCTACTTTTTTTCCACTTGCAGATACTGAGATAAATTGGATAAATGGTACTGATGAATGGCACATTCTTTAACGCTGAAGACTGTTCTTCCTTGTATTTAAATACTATAAGGTTAACATTAATTTTCATTAATATAATAATGAAAAATATTGGAATATAGAATGTTTTCAAATTGCTGGTTGTTATATTTGCATTTGTTTTACAAGACATCTTATCTATGACCATGCTCCGTTGAAATTGGTGTTTGAGAAATATTTTCTGACTACTTATAAATATATCCTGGGTTGTAATTTTGAAAAAATTTAAATGAAAGTTATCAAAGTTTCTATTTTTTTCCTAGGAAAAGTTATATACCTTAAGCGGTTTATTTTGATAACCAGAATGAACAATAAAATATTTTCTTGTGTTTGGACCATGGACTTTTTGGTAGGGGGTGGGCAAGACACCTTAGTTAGCCCGGGTATATGAGTGTGAGCTGCCCATAACTTTCACATTCCATACCGAAAAAGAGAGAAAAGAATTGTCCCAAAATCTTTGGGCCAGAATCGACAATTCTGGTCTAAACGTGAAAGTTGCAATTCAAGTTAATCTTTCTCCCACCTGGACAGTGTGAGGTACTGGAAGTCAAATGCGTTTTACTCATATAGCGGGAATGATGAGCTTCAGCGTTGTTCCGGGGGAGCGGGTAGGGAGGAACCTTAATGCAGCCGTATATGAGTAAAAATTGCCCAGTGTTACTTGCAAATGTATACAGACACCATCAGCGGGTATTATCCCGACAAACTTTATTGCTACGATTTTAGCCTTCCTTGTTTAGCTAAAAAGAGACTACTTTGTGATTAGGATTGTACCCCCAAGGCATCTTAATAACGGCGGGGTATTTCCCACGATCTTTGAGATCTGAATGGCCCCCATCCCGGGTTACCTCCGACATTAGGGACCATTCTTCTTGTTTGTAATATACGATGATCCTCTCTTCGTTAGAATATTTTGGGTGCCCCCACCTTGTAGTCGAGATGACCTCCTCCCCACAAAAAAAAAGAGAAAAAAAAAAAAGAAAAGAAAAGAATGAAAGAAAGAAGACAAGACAAAATAAAAAAAGAAACGACGACGAAAAAACTGACACCTAAACTTAAATCAAAGCCGTGAGGTCGGTTTCGACATTGTTACCAGGTTAATGTGTACTCCTGTTGAACATTAATAGCAACTTCCACGTAGGGGTTCCGGTTATCTCTTTCACCGGAAAGTTTTTGAAAAATCTGCAGGCGATAAAACGTAATTTGCTTCATTCTCACATACATAGAGAAACAATACCAGTTTCAACCAGTTCTAAACGTTTTTAGACAGAAGTATCAGTTGTTCTGTCACACAAAATAAAACCAGTGCGGCAGAAGCCCTAAAGTGCTGTTATTGCTCGAGATTTTTTTCAGAGACGGCGTAGGGGGAGGGGGCGCTTAGTGCCGTAGCGCAACCATTTTTCTTTTGCTTGATTTACTACAAACCCGATGGCACGTCCAAGGGTGGTAGGAAGCAAGGCCCAAATGCAAAGATTCAACTTTTTCTTTGGTTTGCATCTTGAGGAACGACTTTATAGCGGATCTCCACGCGCGCGCGCGTAGCCCCATACCTAAGAAAACTTGGCAATATATCCATCCGAGAAATTTTGGTAATCACATGAGCGTATGTTCGACCGTCCGTCCGCACCACAGGCATACCAATGTAAAATAATTCAATTAATAGGTATGACAATCCAGGCAACTTGAGGTGTTTTTGGCGGGAAATCGCATGGCCACCGGACTTTCAGGAAGAAAACAAAAACAACTAAGTCGAGTCTTTTTTGACGTTATTTTTGATGTCTACACTCGGTAGATAACAGAGAAATAGAAAAAGCGTGTGATAAAAAACAAGACGAATTTTGTTGGAAGAAAAACATGAAAATTTCATAGCGGCGGTGAGAAAATCTGCAGGTTGATCATGTTCATGAGGATGAAAGGGAAACATGGGAGATGACCGAAGGCAAGGTCAAACAAGGGCTGAAGGAGAAATTAAGCTTGTACAATGATCCGGTTATTGAGCGGGCCCACCGCATTGGCAAGAAACTGAGTTCTATTGCTCCTCGGCGAACCACAACAGTTGTCTGCCGACCTCGCAATTGGAAAGAGAGGAAATCATTATTGAAACTGGCGCGAAGAATCAAGCCTGACGGAGTCTACGTCACGGAGGATCTTACACAAGCTACAACTGAGAGGCGCAAGGGACAGCGCGAGAAATTTGAAGAAGAAAAAAAAGCCGGGAAAACTGCATATTTTGTAAATAATTTGATCAGCATTTTGTGCAGCGAGTTCTACGGTCACGATTGCCTTCAAACTTGCAGATGTAAAACTAGAGAGCTCTGAGGCTTATTTGCTGAAGTTAGGGAAAAATCTTTCGTGGGATTTCGAAGTTATTTACATTTTTCGTAAAAATGCGGTTTTAAAGATATGCCGATATCTCAAAGGTTTTTACACCTACAAGAAAAAATAAATAACATTTTCTTAAAGTTCTATTATCATTTATTACAGATGCCAAAAATCATAGAAATCGGTTGAACCTTTCATTCTGAAAAACGCAAATCAAAAACATAACCAACGCGCATATAAATAGGAAAGGGCCACCTTAAGGCCATAAAAACGAAAAGCAAACTTTATAAAAAGTAGCTTCTCAATCCTTCCCCAGAAAATAAGACTCTTTATAAACACTTCAAAAACAAACTAAACCATTCTTTGAAAATAAGACTCTTTATAAACACTTCAAAAACAAACTAAACCATTCTTTGATAATAGCCAAACAATTACATTATGAAAGAAAATTAAATGCTATGAAATCGAATATTAAGGGCACGTGGCGAATTTCTCAATGAGATTATAAAGAAAAAGAAGAAGAAAGTTAAACTAAACTCGATATTTAAAGATGGTACCCAAGACATCTCGGACCCAGATGAGATCCCATCTTCAAGGAGCATGATATTCGCTCACTAGAATTAGGCAAAATTATGTATTCCTATAAACACTCACTTGTACCCACTAGGTTTTTCAAACGAAGTATCTACCTTAGACCGCGGTTTGGGAAATCTTTGATCCTCCGAATCCCTTCCTTACTGGGTTATTTTAAGACGACCAATGCTTTTCTAGTCTACTTTATAAGCTTTAATCATAAGACTGTTCACGATAAATGGTGTTGAAATAAAAGCGTTCGCCAAACTGAAAATGGCTTAAAAAAACAGTTTTGTTAAACAATGGGTAAACTCCGTTTAAATAACTGGCCCTGTGTGTTTTGGACATTATGTTGCACGTTGCGCAAATCCAAAAGCAGTTCAATGCGACGAGTGTGATAAATAGCATCACGCTAAATACATCATCTACTTGGATGTACTGCACATGTTTATTTCCCAGTGTGCGCTCTTTAAATGATTAAACCAGTAGTATTCCGAACCTACATCAACCTAAAGATATCAATAATCAACCTGAAATTCATTTGTTGCGAGGTTTCAAGATTGCTCATTTAAATGTTAACCGCCTGGTGAAAGAGCTTGATCATGTTCAAGAACTTTTACAAGTAATCTTATCCTACAAGTATTGCCGAGACTCTGAACAATCATTTTCAATTCAATTCAATTCAATTTTTCAATTCAATTCTTTATTCACACTATATAAGATATTTACACAAGTGTACGTAGGTAGGAAAATAAAGTAGCCGACAAATAATAATTACCTAAAAGACACTAAGTTCATTTGTGTACGGTGTCCAAAGTAGCAAGAGCTTTCTTGTTGGACACCGTCATCACCAAGGTGATCGAGAGAGCTGTGCATTCCCAACTTTCTAACTACCGTGCTTTAAATAATCTACTGGCCGTTAATTAATTTGGTTTTAGGCGTGGTAGATCTACCAGTCTAGCTTTAACTCAGTTTACGGACGAGGTACTAGGGATTAGGGATAAAGGATTAGTAAATGGCGTATTATTCATCGATCTAAGAAAAGCTAAGAATACCTCTGTAGCAAGGTTTTGCCGAGGTTAGGCTTGCCACGCAGAATTAAGTGTTTCCTACCAAGATATAGCAGAGAACGTTTTGTTAAATCAACTATATACCATTATTTGACCATGCAGATATCACCTGGGGAGACAAATCTAATGGGACGCTGATGAGGAAAGTCCAAGTTCTGCAAAATGCGCCTGCCAAAATAGTACTCGATTTGCCCTAACATTCATCTGCTACCCAGGAGCTCGATCAGATTGGCTAGCATAACTTAACAAAAAGAAGACTTTATAGATTAATATTGTTTATCAAGTCTCGTATACTTTGGAATTTTATTTTTCATGATGCGACAGCGAAACCATTCATACGGCGGCACCATTGATCGAAAACAGGGTACAGACATACTTTACAGAGGTAACCTATATAACTTCGAGTCAAATACAAAGAGACTGAGCGTTTGGAGCCTTTCTCGATACCCCTAACAATCAACTGTATTAAAACTTCACTAAAAGGAAAGGGAAAGGTCATTAAAGGAAGTTGAATATGGAAAACTACCATTGGCTGGCAACTGCAACGGTATATTTCGAATTGAATAGTGCCGTTTGCTAAGAATCAGCCATTGATCCTTCCCTGACATGCGTTTGTATCTTTACAAAAAGCATAACTAGGGTTCTTAGTCAATGCACACAACTCTCTCTCTCTCTCTCTATACCACAATTTCCTCTTAATCGTGTTAGCCGTGTTGGAGAGATTGAGCTACATAGAGCAATGCAGTGTTGTCAGTAAAATGCTATACAAATCCAAGGAATTCTATTATTCGTCGGTTATCCATTACAACGCCCATGACACCAGGCTCCTCTTTCGATCTATATATAAGGTACAGAAAAGGCAAACTGAAAAATGACAGAAGCATTATCCTTCTGCTGACAATGATCAACAACTTGCTTATGCTTTTGCAGATTTTTTCGCTGCTAAGATAGAAAGGATTCGTTAAGAGAGACTTGTTCACTCCCCTGGTCTGTCCAAGCCGACCTGCCTGTCACGGTTAAGTGAGTTTGATTTGGTCACTGATGCGGACGTCTTGAAACTGATCAGAAGTTCCACCGGCTTGTAAACTTGATCCCCTACCAGCAACATTAATGCGAAGTTGCTATTCGGCTCTTGTCCCGGTATTCAGAACAGTAATTAATCTGTCGCTGTCGATTGGTCGATGCCAGAGGATATTAAGATTGCTTCGTTGCGGCCGCTACTGAAAAGACTGAATACTGACTGTGAGCAATTTTCCAACTTCCGCCCGGTGTTCAATTTGAAGTTTCTTTCAAAAGTCTGTATTTGTGCAGTTGAATAATTATCTTACGGTACATGGCTTGCACGAACGTTTTCAATCTGCGAACAAAGCGCACCACAGTACAGAGACCGCACTGCTAACGATCACAAATGACATCTTACTGTCACTGGACAAAGGGGACAATGTGTTCCTATTGTTACTTCACTTGCCAGCAGCATTTGACGCGGTTAATCATTCTGTGTTACTTTCGAGTCTGGAGAACTCGTTTGACATCACAGGAACTGTTCTGCAGTGGTTTTATTCTTATCTGTCTGGCCGATCTCAGCTCGTCGAAATTAATGATACAAAATCGTCGGTTAGAGATCTGACTGTGGGCGTTCCGCAGGTCTCTGTCCTAGGTCTTATTTTGTATCTATTGTACACCGCACTACTTGCTGAGATAATACGAAGTCGGGGACCCGCCTATCATTTCTATGCTGATGATACTCAGCTCTACATATCGTTCAAAGATTGTGATGTCGATGCTGCAAGGTTGCGCGTAGAGAACTGTGTCGCTGATATTTGTCATTGAATGGACGTTAACGAGCTGAAACTCAATCACGACAAGACATAAATTATGCTTATTTGCTCGAAGTACCATACTCGTCCACTCTTCAGCTACTTCAATGTGGGTAATGAGAGGCTGACAACCACCGCCAATGCCAGGAGTCTGGGAGTAGTACTTGATGACAACACGTTATTCGACGTGCACGTCTCAGACATTTGTAGATCATCGTTTAACCAGATTAGGAACTTATCAAAGATAATATCT